GGCTCAGTGGATAGAGTGTCGGCCAGTGGACTAGAAGGTCCCAGGTTTGATTCCAGTCAAGGGTATGAACCTTGGTTTCAGGCACATCTCCAGTAGGGGGTGTGCAGGAGGCAGCTGATCAATGTTTCTCTCTCATTGATGTTTCTAGCTCTCTATCCCTCTCCCTTCCTCTCTGTAAAAAATCAATAAAATGTAAAAATATATTTTAATTGTTTTTAAAATTAACTTATAATCTCCATTATGCAGTAAAAAATAATATTCATTGGTTTCATTGGTTTTTTACAGAGAGGAAGGGAGAGGGATAGAAAGTTAAAAACATCAATCAGCTGCCTCCTGCACACCCCCGACTGGGCATGTGTCCACAACCAAGGTACATGCCCTTGACCGGAATCAAACCTGGGACCATTCAGTCCCCAGGCCGATGCTCTATCCACTGAGCCAAACTAGTTTAGGGCACAATATTCACTTTCTTAATTAATCATGTTTTACTTTTGTTTATTTTGTTATTTGAATCACTCATCTAATCATATCAAAGCCACTACCTAAGTTTTATAGAAAAATTATCAAACGAGATTAATATTTTGACTTACCTCATCACTGTGGCAGAACATAGGAGTAAACACATTCTCCAACAGAGAAAGTACATGTTCATATGCTTCAAAAAGACATCTCATAGTTTGAAGTTTCACAACATCTATATAGGGGCCTTCAGCAACTATTTTAAAAAATGATATTGTAGAAGTTGTTTATAGATAGCATAAATACATTATATATTAGTTTAAAATTCATGACAGTGAGATAGCATACAAACATGTTTTGTGAAAAATCTACTGTAAGGTATAGAAATCATACTAGAATGAGGAATTAGAACCACCAAACTCCAGTCTGGCAAGTATTAGTTTCTTCATCAAAGCTTTCATCTAGTTAGTAAAGTAGGATGATGCCTGTGTATCTCACACAGTGTTATAGTAATAAAGTATATGAGAAAACTCTGAAAACTAAAAAGCTATAAAATTCAGTCTCATCATCTTCAACTTACTTTTTTGAATCTCTTCTACAATGAAGGGATCAAATCGAATTTTGTCAATACTTTCATCCAAACAATATGTTTTATAAATTTTCTGCAACTCCTGATGAAGAGACAGCATTTCATCATTTGATAACTCTGGTCGCAAAATTCTATCATTGAATTCCTCTAGCAAATTAGGGAAGAGTAAGAAAAAAATGAATTATTTTAATATATAACTATTCATAAAAATTTCATGTTCCCAGTCTAATGGTAATCAATATTAAAAGCAGCAATTATAGCCAAAACCGGTTTGGCTCAGTGGATAGAGCATCGACCTGTGAACTGAGGGGTCCCAGGTTCGATTTCAGTCAAGGGCATGTACATTGGTTATGGGCACATCTCCGGTAGGGGTGTGCGGGAGGCAACTGGTCAATGATTCTCTCTCATTGACATTTCTAGCTCTTTATCTCTCTCCCTTCCTCTCTGTAAAAATTCAATAAAATATTTTTTAAATAAAAAAGCAGCAATTTAAACAAAATGTTCATCATTTTAAATTTTTAAAAAGACTTGAGAATAAAATCACTGCTCAGATGAAAGAAAAACTCAAATATTTTATAGACTAAGATAAAATCCTATCTAATAAAAGAGAAAAATGCAAATTGACCATACCTTCGCTATGCCCACAGCCAATCAGAGCAAATATGCAAATTAACCCAACAAAGATGGGCAGCCTGAGTCCTGGAAACATCCTCTGCCTGTAGGCCTGCGCTTAGGTCCTGAGTGGCAGGGGTCCCAGAATGCCTCCTGGCCACTTGGGATCTATTGGTGCAGGTGCCAAGTGGCCTGGTGGGGCAGGAATATCCTCACATCTCCACAGTGATGCAGGGATGTTCCTGCCCTGCCCCTAGCCACTTGCAAATGCTCTGGTACCAGGCAGTGGTTTGGGTCCACGCCCCCAACATGGCAGGGGGTTGGCTTCGGGCCTCTGGGGTATACAGAGACCCTAGCGACAACCATTGTGTGCGGCCCAGGGTCGTTGCATGCCCCCCAGCCTGGCGCCGTTGGTGGGGCTGGCTGCTGGCCTTGGGGGTGTTCGGAGAAGGGGATATTCCCACCCCGCCCCAGTGGCTTTTGTGAGCTCTGGCACCAAGTGGTGGTTCGCGTCCATGCCCCATGCCCAGCACCCTCAACAGGAGGATGGCTGCTGGCCACTAGGGTGTGCGGAGACCCCAGCAACCACCGCCGGATGGCAGGGATATGGCCCACAAGGCAGGGGCTGCATGAGCTGCAGAGGATACACCTTTTTAAAAATATATACCGGTGTATATATATATTATTGATTTTTTTAACAGAGAAGAAAGGAAAGGAATAAACAGTCAGAAATATCAATGAGAAACATCGATGAGCTGGCTCCTGCACACTCCCCATTGGGGATTGGCCTCTAACCAAGGTACATGCCCTTAACAAATCAAACCTAGGACCCTTCAGTCTGCAGACCCATGGTCTATCCATTGAACCCAACCAGTTGGGAGAGTAAATACCTTTTCTGACTGCTCACTGGCTAAGCTCTTTTAGGCCACCACTTGCAGTGTTCTTGGTAATTTGGGTTATAAGAATCCAAGAAGATGATCTAGGGTTTTTCCACCTCACTCCTGGAGGAACAAACAAAGGTCTGCTGCTGGAGGGGCTAAGAAATGTCATATCCTCCCCTAGCCTTGGCTCAGTAGATAGAGCCTCGGCCTGCTGACTGCAGGGTCCAGGTTTGATTCTGATCAAGGGCATGTACCTAGGTTACAGAGCTCATACAGGAGGCAACCAATCAAAGTGTTCCTTTAACACTGATGTTTCCCTGTCTCTCCCTCTCTCTTCCACACTCTCTAAAAGTCAATGGAAACATATCCTCAGATGAGGATAAAAAAAAAAAAAAAGAAAAAGAAAGAAAGAAAAAAAGAAAGAAAGAAAGAAATGTCATATCCTATGAAAGACACATCTTGAAAATGCCTAAAGAAAGTTGCCATTTTTTCACAGTGAAGGGACTAGAGTCTGTATTGATGAAAACACCTTGGCAGCTGCAGTGGCTGGCAGTGGCTGCAGCAGTGGGGTAACAGGGCTGATGCCTTCCCTTGATCAGCCCGGTCACCTGACATCCCTTGAGGGATCTCAGATTGGAGGCTGCAGGCTGGGCTGAGGGACAAACCCCTCCCCCATGCACAAATTTAGTGTACCGAGCCTCTAGTATATAAATAATTGCATAACAATAAAACTTTTCTAGAATTTAGAATAGTAAATACTTTCCTAAATTTTCACTTTAATTTTATTTTAATCTAAAATTTTCTTTAAAGAACATTATATATTAATTCCTTATATGAAGTGTTTTTAATATTTTAAAATCTGATTCACTAAATAACAGTGAAAATTAAGTTGTGTTTTTTTTTAGTTCTAGTCAAGTTTGTTTTTTTGTATGTTTTTTTAAATATATATTTTTATTGATTTCAGAGATGAAGGAGAGAGAGAGAGAGAGAGAGAGAGAGAGAGAGAGAGACATCAATGATGAGAGAGAATAATTGATTGGCTGCCTCCTGTATGCCCTGCACTGGGGATTTAAGCCCACAACCCAAGCATATGCCTGAGGAGGAATCAAACCATGACTTCCTTTTTCATAGGCCAATGCTCAATCATTGAGCCATGCCAGCCTGGCCAGTCAAGTTTTTAACGATATTTCCTTCCACCATAAGGGTTACAGACTAGAGATGGAGCTGAGAATCTGAACAAATGAATCTTTTTTTTCTTATACTTAAACTTTTAAGACATTTTAAAGAGAAAGTATTCATTACAAGATAATCTTTTGCCCTCGCCATCTTGGCAGAATGGATAGAGCATCAGCCCTTGGACTGAAGGGTTCCAGGTTCGATTCTAGTCAGAGGCATGTACCTTGTTTGTAGGCTCAATCCCTGGTGGGGGTTGTGCAGGAAGCAGCTGATCGATGTTTCTAACTCTCTATCCCTTTCCCTTCCTCTCTATAATAAATATATTATTTTAAAAAGTATATTTTATTAATAAAATCAATAAAACATACTTTTAAAAAAAGATAATCCTTTTATAGTCCATACAGTGTCTTGTAAATGCAATAATGCAAGATGTTATAGAGCTTAAAATAAAAATGAAGCATTTTTAATTTGATTATTTAATCAAAATAATCCTTAATGAAAACTATAACAGTGCTATTCATATAGGCTAATGATTGAGTGTATTATTTTCATTATACTTAATCTTTAGTAGTTTTTTTCTGCTAATATGATTTGGTTTAAGTCAGTTATAGATTATGTCCCAATCTAGAAAGAGTGGAGACTTGAAAGATAGCTCTTAGAATATCTAGTAAATAAAACTTGGTACCATGATAGATGACAACTACAACATCTTATCTGATCTCAATATTAAAAAAATCTTTAAAATGACTTTAGTAAAGTATGCAGGTAAGCCTCACCCACAGTCAGACAAATTTGCAAAACGTGTACTGCTCCTTCTTGTTTCAAAAAGTTCATGAAACGAAATAAGAGATCTTGCTGCTCTCTGATTTGCTTCAATTCTAATTTCAGCACCTAGATAAAATACGGGAGGGAGATCAATTAAGGCTATATAAATACATAGTAAAATTGTATCCAAAGTAATATAAGTTATTGTTGAAAATACTTACAGATGGCTTTTTATTTCTAGGTTCTGCAAATTTTTGTAAGAATGGAACCAAAGGGGAAGGTGGTTCAGTTGCTTTTTCAGGCTTTGAAGAAAGAGAATTCATTCATTAAAATTGTTATTGATTTGACAGATATGAATCAAAATTCATGTGATGTGAAATGTTTGCTAAGATGTTAAATACTCACTGGACTGTCAACTATGAAGATGATAAGCAAATGATTCACAGTATCCTAATAAAAAATCATAAACATAAGTCAGAACAATTCCATTACTAATTCTGCCTAGAATTCTCATAGCTTTTATCATATTACAAAAGTTTCTAGAAAATTAAGGAACAAATAAAGCAATAGCATAGTTGTATGTACTTATGTAATACAGAGGGACTTTTTAAAAAATCTGCAATACATGATCTCACCTTTTGTGAAAATGGACAAAGAAAAGTTATTCTGACTTTGGCATTAAAAATGTTTATAAACATGAGTAGGGGGGTTGGGAAGATAATGGGGGGATGAAAATAAATATGTAATACCTTAATCAATAAAGAAATTAAAATGCAAAAAAATAAAAATAAAAATAAAATAGATACAATGTTTATAAAATATTCCTGTTTCTTTATAATCTTACCATATCAAAAGAAAAAGCAACTAAAGTGTAAACAAGGAATGGATGAGTAAGCAAAATGTTTTATTTTCTTACAATGGATTATTACTCAGTCTTGAAAAGGAAGGAAATTTCTATATATGCTACAACATGGATGAACTTGAGGACATTATTAAGTGAAATAAACCAATCGAACCTGGGACCTTCCAGTCCGCAGACTGACGCTCTATCCACTGAGCAAACTGGTTTCGGCTAAATAATAATTCTTCATTTCTCCCTCCTTCTAGCCCCTGGTGACCTTATGTGACTTCCTATCTCTGAATTTGACTACTCCATATACCTCATAGCTCTCTATCTCTCTCCCTTTCTCTCTATAAAAAATCAATAAGATATATTAAAAAAAAAAAAAAAAGATTATTGTTTAATGGGTGTAATTTGTTTTAGGAGATGAAAAAAGTTGTGGAAGTGGGTAGTAGTGAAATATTATGTACTTGCTAACATTATGTACTTACTACCACTGCTGCTCAACATTATGTAGTCAACATTATGTACCTACTACCACTGCTGCATATATAAAAACATTTAAGATGATAAATTTTAAATGCAATTAAAGAAAAAAATTTTTTAAGACTTACTGGATCAGCTAGGAAATCCAAAGAAGGAAGAAACACAGAACCTGAGAGGATCTCTCTTAAAAGTAAGGTCAAGGATCTAGAAAAAGAAACAATTAGTGATTTACATCAGTCCTTAGGTGGAAATCTTGCTAAAATGCAAGGGTTCAGTAGGTCTGGGGTATGTCCCAAGATTCTGCATTTCTAACAGGTTCCCAGATGACGCTTATGCTACTGGTTTACAGGAGGCAGTTGGAGTCCTTAATTGGCTAAAAGAGAATACTATTTAAGAGAAAAAAAGCATTTCCTTAGCAGGAAAGACTTAGGTAAGCATTAGACAACAATTTCTGCCTTGGAATATTATTTTATAATAATAAAACTTAGAGTAATATTATAAGTTAATCAATTTAAAATAAAAATATTTTAATTAAAATGTTAAAATAAATTTTTAAATTTATTAAAATGAAATGTTTTAATTAAATAGCCGAAACCGGTTTGGCTCAGTGGTAGAGCGTCAGTCTGCAGCCTGAAGGGTCCCGGGTTCGATTCCGGTCGGGGGCATGTACCTTGGTTGCAGGCACATCCCCGGTGGGGTTGTGCAGGAGGCAGCTGGTCGATGTTTCTCTCTCATCGACGTTTCAGGTTCTCTATCTCTCTCCCTTTCTCTCTGTAAAAGAATCAATAAATTAAAAAAAATGTTTTAATTAAATAAAGTAACATTTAAAGTACATCTGAAAAAATAAGCCATGGTTTCTACTCTAAGAATTATCAGAGTAAGATTAATGAGGTAATTTATAGAATAATCTAAATATTCTCATATCAGATCAAGGATGTATCAAATGACATCTAACTATTCTTCCTAGGTGGACATCTTAAAACCCAAATTTGCCTGTACAATTTGTTCAAATTGTTGCTCCTAGTGAGTCATAATGTACATGTCTTTAAAAAGAAACATCAATCTCGGATATTTCTCATAACAATTTTTTGTTCTGATATATCGCTTCAAGTAAGAAAAACAAAAGAAAAAATAAATGGGACCACATCAAACTAAAAAGTTTTTGCACAGCCGAAACCGGTTTGGCTCAGTGGTAGAGCGTTGGTCTGCGGACTGAAAGGTCCCAATCAAAGGTTCCAGTCAAAGCATGTACCTGGGTTGCGAGCACATCCCCAGTAGGGGGCGTGCAAGAGGCAGCTGATCAATGACTCTCTCATCGATGTTTCTAACTCTATATCTCTCTCCATTCCTCTCTGTGAAAAATCAATAAAATATATTAAAAAAAAAAAAAAAAAGTTTTTGCACAACCCTGGATGGTTTGCTCAGTGGATAAAACGTCGGCCTGTAGACTAAAGGTTCTCAGATTCGATTCTGGTCAAGGGCACATGCCCAGGTTGCAGGCTTGATTCCCAGTGGAAGGCTTGCAGGAAACAGCCAATCAATGAGTCTCTCTCATCATTGATGTTTCTATCTCTCTCTTCCTTCCTCTCTGAAATCAATAAAAATATATATTTTTAAAAAGATTTTGCACAGCAAAAGAAACCATCAACAAAATAAAAAGACAACTCACTGAATGAGAGAATATATTGGCTAAAGATACATCTGATAAGGGGTTCATATCCTAAATTTAAAAGAACTTATAAAACTCAACACCAAAAGAACAAATTAAAAAATAGGCATAGGACCTTGTTGGTGTGGCTCAGTTAGTTGAGCATTGTCCCATGCACCAAAAGATCACAGGTTTGATTCCCAGTCAGAGCACATGCCCAAGTTGTGGGCTCCATTCCCAGTGAGGGGATGTGAAGGAGGGAGCCAATAAGTGATTCTCTCTCATCATTCATGTTTCCATCTCTCTCTTCCTCTCTCTGAAGTCAATACCGGTAGAAATGTATTATCTGACATTTTAAATAAAAGACCTGATAAATTATATTTTTTAAAATAAAGTATTCATGTCATAAACTAACCTCAAGTTTCTGTATATTCCTTCTATGATTAAGAATAGCAATATTCATATGGCATGGTTGCAAATAATGCTGACATTTTCCAGTCTATTTATACCTGCAATCTGTTGCTTTAGGAGGCAAAACATAAGGGAAAAGTAGTTCAGTAAGTTTCCTTAAATAGTGTAATTCATCCCTTCGACTCCTCAAGGCCACATGAAGCTCTGGACCATATTCTTCTAATGCCGCTTGCTGTAAAAATTCTGTATTTTCCACTATAAATACAGATAAAAATAAATATTGAAGTAAGTTAAGCAACATTAAATAACTTCAGCCATTTCCACTAACAAAAAAATCATTTAATATAGTCATTCTTTTCCTAGTCATTCCTTTCCTATCCCTCCTTTCTTTCCATTATGTATTCTACTGAGAAATTTTTTTACAATCAGGATATAAAAAAGTAATTTTCCTTTTGGCTAGAAGTTTTTAAATTTTGCAGTGGAAAAAAAAAAAAAAAAAGCCTTTCTCCTTGGCAAACAAGAATTTGAACTTTGTCATTACTATACAAGTCATAGTAAACAAAAGCAAATGGTTTTTTTTTTAATGGAAAAAAATTATTTTTTAATTTTTAAAAATTTCCAGCATACACAAAGCTTTTGTTATCAAATGTATATCCTCTGCAAATACAAAAAACAAAACAAACAAATAAAAAAAACACCTCCTTAGCCAAAACTGGTTTGGCTCAGTAGATAGGGCGTCAGTCTGTGGACTGAAAGGTCCCAGGTTCGATTCCGGTCAAGGGCATGTACCTTGGTTGCGGGCACATCCCTGGTAGGGGATGTGCAGGAGGCAGCTGGTCGATGTCTCTATCTCATCGATGTTTCTAGCTCTCTATCCCTCTCCCTTCCTCTCTGTAAAAAAATCAATAAAATATATATTTTTTAAACTCTCCTTAATATTCTTGTCATCTCTGTTTTTACACCAAAGTCATTCAGATAATCCTTTAAAGTAATAATTGTATAGAAAATGGCTTCCTTGGTAAAATTCCATATCTTATGCCCAGAGTATAAAGTCACAAAAGTACAGAAGTCTTTTAGGTGGACTCCATGAACAGATAGATTAGTTAATAAATATTAACAGATAATAAAAGCTATATTAAAATGAAGATTTCTTAAAAAGTCAAGCACTAAATCAATATTTTTTAATATATATATATTTTTTTAATATATTTTTTGTATTGATTTGTTACAGAGAGGAAGGGAGAGAGATAGAGAGCTAGAAATGTCGATGAGAGAGAAACATCGACCAGCTGCATCTTGCACACCCCCTACCAGGGATGTGCCTGCAACCAACGTACATGCCCCTGACTGGAATTGAACCCGGGACCTTTCAGTCCGCAGACCAATGCTCTACCACTGAACCAAACTGGTTTCAGCCAATATTTTAAAACTTGAAAGTAATTATATTGCTACTCCTTTTTACAGCACTCAAAAGCCTGGGAGAAAATGCACAATTATTACTGAATTAAAATTATACCAATGCTTCATATATAAAAACATTCCCAAGATCCATGGAAGTACTTACATAGATAGAAAATGTCAATACAGAGTGGGGGAACAGTAGGTTTATAATTGTGAGTATGTGAAACAGTTTATTTTTGTATTATTATTTATTAACTAGAGGCCCAGTGCACAGATTCATGCACCGGTGGAGTCCCTCAGCCTGGCCTGCAGGGATTGGGTGGAAACTAGCTCTCCAACATCCCCCAAGGGGTCCCAGATTTTGAAAGGGCGACTCTCAGGTGATATACCCTGGAATCAGGCTCCCTCCTCACTGGTCCCTAGCATGTCACCTGAGAATCGCAGTTGCCAAGTCACCGCAGCTTGGCAGCTCCTGTGTTGAGCATCTGCCCCCTGATAGTCAGTGTGCATCATAGCTACCAGTCAGACGGTCAGTCAGTTACTTGGGCTTTTATATATATAGATTATTGTGTTATTTTCCATATGAACAACTGTAAACCTACTTTGCCCTACCCTGTGTAACCCTACTCTCAAAAGGCAAATTAAGGAGAAAACACCAAGAGAAAAGGATAAATATAGATGAAGAGGTAAACCTTTAATTATTCCCTGAGTTAACAACTGTGAGGCCAAAGATTTAAAGAACAAATTTATGCACTGAAGAAATGAAAAATCAAAAAACTAACAACCATTTTTGCAATTTTAATTTACTGAAATATTTAGAACACCAGGACCTTTAAATAAAATAACAGTTCTTATGAATTTCAGTAATTACAATGTTATCACTCCAATCTAGCATTTAATAGGGGTTTTTAATGTGTTTTTATTGATTTTGAGAGAGAGAGAGAGAGAGAGAGAGAGAGAAAGAAACACTGATGAGTAGCCTATCACATTCACCTGACAGGAGAACCAACCTGCAACCCTGGCATATGCCCTGTCCGAGAATTGAACTGGCAACCTTTTGGTGCATAGTACAATGCTCAAGCAATTGAAACACACCATCCAGGGCTAATGGTGATTTTTTACATTTTTTACATGAATAGCAGCAAATTAGCAACCCCTATTATGCAAAGACTCAACAATAAATTTCAGTCATACTGGTGTGTCTATAAATGTAAAACATTTTCAGAGATAAAATAATTTGAGGATTTTATTAAACTGATCAATTCAACTAAAAAGGACTCAATTTACTCATAGTCTGAGTTAAAAGTATTTATCTTTAGAACAAAATAAAGACTATGTTAAAAACTTTTCCCATACATAAATCTACACACAAATGTTTATAGCTCTATTCATAATTGCCAAAATTTGAAAGCAACCAAGATGTCTTTCAATAGATGGATAAACAAAATGTGGTATATCTATACAATGGAATATCAGCAATAAAAATAAATGAGCTATCAAGCCATGAAAAGACATGAAGGGACATTAAATGCATATTTGTAAATGAAAGCAGCAAGTCTGAAAGGCTACCTACGTAACTCCAACTATATAATGCTCTGGAAAAGGCAAAACTGTACTGATAGTAAAAATATCAGTACCCTTAGCCAGTTTGGCCCAGTGGATAGAGCATTAGCCTTTAGACTGAAAGCTCCTGTGTTTGATTCCTGATCTGGGCACATATCCAAGTTGCAGGCTCAATCCCCAGTAGGGGGAGTGCAAGAGACAGCTGATCAATGACTCTCATCATTGATGTTTCTTTCTCTCTCCTCCCTCCCCCTCTCTCTTCTCCTCTCTCTAAAATCAATCTAAAAAAGAACAAAAGAACACACGGGGGGGGGGGGGGGGAGAACAAACACTAATGAAAACTACAGACTTCAGTAAATAATTATGTATCAAAGTATATAAAAGTATATAAAAGCTTAAAGCAACCATTTGATCAGTAGCTATGATGCACACTGACCACCAGGGGGCAAACGCTCAACATACAGTCATGGAACAAAATGATGAGTCTCAGAGGGAAAAGGGGAGCGGGGAGGGCAGAGAGAGATAAACCAAAGATCTCACATGCATACTAGAGGCCTGGTGCACAGATTCATGCACTGGTGGGGTCCCTCAGCTTGGCCTGCGGGGACAGGGTAGAAACTAGCAATTTGACATCCCCCAAGGGGTCCTGGATTGTGAGAGGGCGCAGGCCCAGCCAAGGGACCCCACCAGTACATAAATCCAAGCACCAAGCCTCTTTACCAACATAATACAAGATGTTAATAAAGGGGAATAAAGGGGGTATATGGGAACTCTCTATACTTACTGCTCAAGTTTTTTGTAAACTTAAAACTTTTCAAAAAAAATTAAGTTTACTAATGAAAAAAAGTCTTATTCTCTACATTCTATTTTTATAGAGGTTTTTTTCCTATGCTCTTTAATAAAGTAACTTAAACAAAATGGCTACAACAAAGTTACTATCTTCTAGTGTGTTTTTGCCAATTACAGGACAAGATTTTAAAAGTTAATTTTTTATTTAAGAATTACACTTATTCAAACTCTTCCAGTTTTTAACTATGTTGAAGTAAAACTACTTTTACTTGTTATAACATTGTAAGATAAACACAGAAAACATGTTTAAAAAATATAATTTGAGTCCTAGCTGGCTTGGCTCAGTGGACAGAGTATCTGTCTATGGACTGAGCGGTCCCACGTTCGATTCCCAGTGAAGGGCACATGCCTGGGTTGTGGGACGTGTGGAAGGCAGCCAATCGATGACTCTCTATCATCATTGATGTTTCTATCTCTCTCCCTCTCCCTTTCTCTCTGAAATCAATAAAAAAATAACACACACACACACAACACACACACACACACAATTTGAAATGTTTCTCATACTTGAGGAATGATTCACACCAAAGAACAAACTAAAAATTTACTTTAATTTCAACTCTGCCTAGGACATAATTTCCTCAAATGTACTCTGACTATATTCACTGATATTCTAAGGAAGGAAATATGGGCTTCATGCTTAAATGAGTTTGGGATGCACTGCATTAAACAAAGTGAAAGCTATTTCCTTGCTGCAGGACTACTCAGAAACTTAGGAATGCTAGACTTAGGTATCCCTCACAGGGTATTTCCAGAAGAGGAATACAATATGTAGAAATTAACAGAAAATATGACCATGAAACCACTTCTACATGATCATCTTACATAGAATAGTATTCTGCAGAACATACTGAGAAAACACTGACAAAGAATACCAAATGCAAACAAAAATAAAATCAGTTTGGCAAAGAAGCAAGAATATAGCAAGAAACCATTTCATTTAAAAAGAAACATTTCAGCTTGACCTAAGAGCAAGAGAAGTCCTAAGTGAAGATTTCATCCTTTCAACCAGAAAAAAAAGTTTGCTGAACATATACTATGTGTAAATCATAACAGTATAAAGGCCAGGATGCACATGAGAAACTGCAAAGAGATCATCCTGGCTAACGCACAAGCCTCCTATATAATAAAAGGCTAATATGCAAATTGATAGAATGGCAGAACAATTGGTAACTATGATGCCCACTGGCCACCAAGGGGCAAATGCTCAACACAGGAGCTGCTCCTGGGGGTCAGTGCACTCCCACGGGGCGGGGGGTTGGATTTGCAGCTCAGCCAGAAGCCGGGCTCACATAGCAGTGCTAAGGATGTCCAACTGCTGGCTTAAGACATTCCCCAAAGGTTCGCAGACTACAAGAGGGCGAAGGCCAGGCTGAGGAAACCCCTGCCACCAAGTGCATGAATTTCATGCACTGGGCCTCTAGTACACAATAAAAGACAAAAACAGATCAACATATTCAATGATAGAAAATAATTTAAATATACAGTTTAGACTCTACAGCAATCATTAATTTTGGGTTAGTAGGGAGGTACCATATAAGAATAGTAAAATTAACACAGTAGCAGTATATAGGATAGACAGCACATAGGGTGGGTAGTTTATAGGCTAAGTCAAAATTATGAAATCATTAAGAAGAGTGAAAAGAAGGTGAGATATACCTTAGAGGAAACAATGAAGGCAACAAACAATTATCCTATATAACTCGAGAGTAATCAACCCTATATCTAAAAGTTAACTGTATTTTCATTTTCATAGATTGTTGAATTTTCACAATCACTTATATGATTAACCAACTATTAAAAACTATCTCAGGCCGGGACCGGTTTGGCTCAATGGATAGAGCGTCGGCTTGGGGACTGAAGGATCCCGGGTTCAATTCCAGACAAGGGCATGTACCTTGATTGCGGGCATATCCCCAGTAGGGGGTGTGCAAGAGGCAGCTGATTGATGACTCTCTCTCATCGATGTTTCTAACTCTCTATCTCTCTCCCTTCCTCTCTGTACAAAATCAATAAAATATATTTAAAAAAATAAAAATAAAAAAAATAAAAACTATCTCAGGTTAAAAGAGAACTCTCATAGCACTTGTGAATATGTATGTTAATGTATGAGTACTCATACTTAGGTATTTAAGATGAAAGTTGATATATAAAAATAAAATCACTCAAACTTTATAATAAAAAATTGTATTACCTTTCTGACTGGCTTTAACTATCACTTCTATATGCTTCATTGCTGCTTTTAATAGTTTCTTGGTTATAATAGACGGTATATCCACCTAGAAAAATTCAACATTAAAATAAAACTTTTAAAATAATTATCACTAAGTTACAATGACAAAAACACTATATATATTTAAGATAGGAACACATGGTCTTAAAAATGAGATGTTATTATTTGGAATCTTTCAAAAACTTAATTTTAAGAGCACTTTATATTCTTAGATCATAATAGCTATAGCTTTAGAAAATTTTTCTACCACAGTAATGAAACTATTTTAATATGCATGCCCTATATAATAAATTTTTCTCACAATATTTCTATTCATGGTTTATTTCTTTGATGTGTTTTAAATGCTTTCAAGGAAAAATCTTTGAGGCTATAAACTTGTGTTTACTAAGGCTACCTGAAAATAAACTTTTTCATTCTGGAAACTAGTAACTATTGTAGGTTAGTGAGAGAGGATTGAGAGCTTATATGAAAACACATAAAACAAAAAATAACTAAAAATAAATTCCAAATAAAATAAATCACCAAAAAGCAAGTTTCTGGACTTTGGCATTTGACATGCTTTGCTTTCAAAATGGAAAAATGCCATATGTATTATTTTTCTAGCCGCTTTCACTTGACTACATGAGATAAACTCCCATAAAAATAAGTATTATTCTACAAAAGCATTTTTCATGGCTGAATAGGATTCTATAAATGGCATGTATACTAATTAATCAAAATCTTAACATTAAAAAAATAGTTTTTCATTATACTAAAATGAATTCTTGACATACATTTTTATATAAACTCTGATTATTTCTTCAAAATATATTGTTGGAAAATTGAATTAAATTTGGGAGTATAAACATTATTAAATATTTTAATAAAGATTTCCAAACTGCCTTCTTGCATATGAGTTATACCAATTTGGAGTCATACTTGCTTTGCCTGTTTCCCCACAATCATCATTTCTAGATATTATCACTCTTTTTTATCTTTCAGGGGTAGTCAATCGATGTTTCTATCTCTCCCTTCTCCCTTTCTCTCTCTGAAATCAATAAAAATATTTTTTTTAAATCTATTATTTTAAATATATGTATATTAAGGTATAGTAAGGTATCTTATCAAAAAGCTAATTTAATGAGACAACATAGTTTAAGTATTCATTGGCCATTTTATATTTTTTCTTTTGTGAACTGCTTATTCATATTTTTTGCATATCTTTTTGATAGTGGTTGACTGTATTGTTCATTTTTTAAATGTAAAGAATCATTCAACAAGATTTATCTTTATTTTATACTAGTAGAGACTCAGTGCATGAAATTCGTGCATGGGAGGAGGAAGGGTCCCTCAACCCGGTCTGCACCCTCTCCCATCTGGGACCCCTCGGGAGATGTCTGACTGCCGGTTTAGGCCCGATTCCGCCTTGGGCTGGCACTGGACAGCGGTAGGCGCCATCTGCAGCTTGCCTAAGGCTCAGACAGCCACTGCAGCTTTGTCCAGAAGGACATCAGATGATCATCCAGAAGATGTCTGCCCTAATTAGCATATTAACCTTTTTATTAGTATAGATACTAATGGGAGAGATGTTATATACTAATTTATTGTCAATATATTAAATTCTACAGTAGACAAGTATGTGTGTCTATAACTAACACACTATAAGAATATATCTGTAGGCAAAGACCCAAACATATACAAAATATGGCTCAAACGCCTTTTTAAAAAGTAGGTCATAATAATCACCATTTGCACAATAAATTCAGCAAACTGGAACATGTTTTTCCTATAGTTGTCTTTTCATTTCTAACTGCCACAAACCAAGATATACAAGCATTAAAGTAAAACTGATCAATGAATCATAAGTGATCCATTCATTTTTTTAACCTAAAAAAATGAAAAGTGAAAAAAGAAAACACAAATATATACAGTATAGGATAAAGTAAATATAAGATTTTTAAAACTCTCTTTAGTGGCCGGGACCAGTTTGGCTCAATGGATAGAGCATCGGCTTGGGGACTGAAGGGCCCCGTGTTCGATTCGGGTCAAGGGCATGTACCTTGGTTGCGGGCATATCCCCAGTAGTGGGTGTGCAAGAGGCAGCTGATCGATGACTCTCTCTCATTGATGTTTCTAACTCTCTATCTCTCTCCCTTCCTCTCTGTATAAAAGTCAATAAAATATATTTTTAAAAAATAAATAAATAAAACTCTCTTTAGTAATCTTAAGGCCTCAAATTCCCAAATTTCTCATTATAAACAAGTACCTTGTGAATCCTTCGAATTAAGACAGATGCAAAAAAACGTAGAGTTATCCTCAGTTCATCAACAAAGGACTCATCATCTGTTACATCCCTTCAATTGAAGAGAAAACAAGAATTTAGAAGTCCAAAGAAATATACAGTTTCACTTTCTAGAAAGCAAAGAGAGTCTAGAGCTTCCTGGTTTTTTCCATTTACTTATGTTATTTTTCTTTTGTTTCTTAACAAATAACACAGTATATTACAGAATAAAAGACAAATATATATATATATATATAGAAGAAAATAAACATCTCCCTTAATTCTAGTACCAAAACAATCACTATTAACTAAATTGAAGTATATATTTCCCTGTAGACATCCATAATGTACAGTCATATTTTTACAGAACCAAGATCATTTTCTAAGCAGCATCAAAAAATTTTCTAAGAACCAAAACCCCGGTTTGGCTCAGTGGATAGAGCGTTGGCCTGCAGACTCAAGGGTCCCGGGTTCAATTCCCGTCAAGGGCATGTACCTTGGTTATGGACACATTCCCAGTATAGGGTGTGCAAGAAGCAGTTGATCAATGACTCTCTCTCATTGATGTTTCTAATTCACTATCTCTCTCCCTTCTTCTCTGTAAAAAATCAATAAAATATATATTTTTTAAAAAAATTTTTCTAAGAGCCCTAGCCGATTTGGCTCAGAGGGTAGAGCATTGGCCTGCAAACTGTAGGGTCCCAGGTTCGATTCCAGTCAAGGGCACATGTCCAGGTTGTGGGCTCGATCCCCAATAGGTTACATGTAAGAGGCAGCCAATCAATGATTCTCTCTCATCACTGATGTTTCTATCTCTCTCTCCCTCTCCCTTCCTCTTTGAAATCAATAAAAATATACTTAAAAAAAAAAAAAAAGATAAACAATCAAATCAAAAAATGGGTAAAGACCTAAACAGACAGTTCTCAAAAGCGAACATACAGAAGGCCAAGAGACATATGAAAAAATGCTCAAAGTCGCCAAAACCGGTTTGGCTCAGTGAATAGAGTGTCGGCCTGTGGATTGAAAGGTCCCAGGTCTGATTCCGGTCAAGGGCATGTACCTTGGTTGTGGGCACATCCCCAGCAGGGGTGTGCAAGAGGCAGTTGATCGATGATTCTCTCTCATCGATGTTTTTAGCTCTCTATCCCTCTCTCTTCCTCTCTGTAAAAAAACAATAAAATATTTTTTTTTAAAAGAACAAAAAAATGCTCAAATCATACAAGATATGCAAATCATACAAGATATGCAAATCAAAATAACAATGAAGTACCATCTCACACCTGACAGAAAAGCTATCATCAACAAATCAACAAAAGACAATTGCTGGTGAGGATATGGAGAAAAAGGAGCCCTCATGCACTGTTGGTGGGAATGCAGACTGGTGCAGACACTATGGAAAAGTACGGAGTTTCCCAAAAAAATTCAAAATGGAACTCCTATTTGACCAATAATCCCACTTCTAGGAATATATCTCAAGAAATCAGAAATACCAATCAGAAAGAATATATGCACCCCTATGTTCATAGTAGCACAATTTACAATAGCTAAGATTTGGAAACAGCCTAAGTGCCCATCAGCAGATGAGTGGATTTAAAAACTGTGGTGCTTCTTACACAATGGAATATTACACTGCTGTAAAAAAAGAAAAAGAAAAACTTTTACCATTTGCAACAACATGGATGGAACTGGAGAGCATTATGCTAAGTGAAATAAGCCAGTCGGAGAAAGATAAATATCACATGATCACACTCATATGTGGAATATAATGAACAACATAAACTGATAAACAAAAATAGATACAGAGACATAAAAGCATCAAACAGAACGACAAACCTCAAAGGGAAGGCAGGAGGTGGGGGTAGTGGGGGGAGGATAAGAGATCAACCAAAGGACTTATATGCATGCATATAAGCATAACCAATGGACATAAACAGTAGTGGGGTGAGGGCATGTGTTGGGGGATGGGAGCAAGTAGGGAGAGGTTAATGGGTGGGGGGGAGAAGAAAACATATAGAATACTTTCAACAATAAAGAATTTTTTTTTAAAAATCCTAGGGAAAAGAATATTACAGCATCAATAGCTATACTTAGGAAAAATACATACTTTAACATTTAGAAATACAGATATATTTTATGTCTAAAGAGCCATAACATGATAGGTTGGGGAGAGAAAGTTTTTACAACAGGATTTATTTTATAAAAGGACTCTCACCATTAGCTTTACTTAAATAGTAAATGCCCCATACTTAAGACAGAATCCAACATAAAAATTAATTTGCAGAGCTTTTCAGAAAAATATAAAACATAAACTGGGTGTTAAATTTGTTTTAATATACTATAGATCAATTTAACCACTAGCATTTTTAATTAGAAAATTCAAAATACATTAAATCAATATAAAATTAGGGTAGATGTCATTAAATATTACATCTATAAGTCTTATAGGTATAACTGTTCAATATATAACTAAATATCTGATGCTTCTGTAAGAAAACATGTATTCATTTTTTAGATCTATATTATTTTCTATATTCTGCAAGATATAGAACACTTGTACATCTATGGCACATATGAAAAATGAAGTTACTTTTAAAAAGTCTTATTATTATAGGAAAATTATCTTTCAATTTAATGAAACATAAATATAATTTTTTCTTCTAAATGTATAATTATTTCAAATATAAAAAGTATTAAATCACATATTATATTTAGGAGTAATAAAAAATTCAACAAGTTACTTTTCTTTCAAAAAATGACCTAAGATTTCTTCCTCTTTGCTATCACTAAATATTTTTTAAAATATATTTTATTGATTTTTTACAGAGAGGAAGAGAGAAGAATAGAGAGTTAGAAACATCGATCAGCTGCCTCCTGCACACCTCCTATTGGGAACGTGCCCACAACCAAGGTACATGCTCTTGACCGGAATCGAAACTGGGACCTTTCAGTCCACAGGCCAACTGAGCCAAACCAGCCAGGGCACTGGCACTAAGTATTAATTGACTTCCTACATCAGTGGTTATTAACTGGGGCCAATTATGTCTCCCAGGGTAAGATTTGGCAATCTCTAAACGTATTTTTGGTTGATCTCTTATCCTCCTTAGATCTAGAAGGAGGAGGATTACAACTAGAAGGAGGATTAGTATCTAGTGGAAAAGACCAGGGATTCTACTAAATATCCTTTAATGCACACACAGTACAGCACCTCACAACAAAGAATTTCTTGGCCTAAAATGTCAATAGTGCCAAAATTGAGAAATGCTGGCCCACACTAAAATACATCATTAGCACATTTCACTTAATGGTATTTACTATCCAATATACTGAAGGGAAAAGGTGTTATAGAAAGAACATACCTGTACCACGGATAAACAAAGTTTTCCAACACTAATTCAAGAACCTGCATAAAAATAAAAACCTGCATAAAAATTATGTTCTAAAGAAAAATTAATTAAGTAAATTCTGGGAAAATAAGCTACTAATATATATTATTGAGAACCAATTTTGTTAGCCCAATTATTAATATCATATACATGACAAAATGCTTATGTCAACCTTACATGATGGTTGTGATGATCAAAGAGAACATGAGAAAACACTTTGAAAATCATAAAACTCCATAAAAAAGAGTTATTATTAGAATGACATACACATTTCTAAATATTCCCATAATGAAAAATTTATTTTAAAAAACTTTAATTTGGCCCTAGCCGGTTTGGCTTCAGTGGATAGAGCATCAGCCTGCGAACTGAAAGGTCAAGGGCACATGCCTGGGTTGTGGGCTCGATCCCCATTGATGGACTGCAGGAGGCAGCCGATCCATGATTCTCTCTCGTCATGAATGTTTCTATCTCTCTCTCCCTCTTCCTTCTTCTCTGAAACCAATAAAAATGTTTTTTAAAAAAACAAAAAAGTTTAAATTGTTCCCGAATCTGAAGCTTCACTGAACCAAGAAAGTTCTTTGGAAAGAAGGAAAATAATAAGCTACTTTTTTGTAATTTTTTTATTATATTTTATTGAGTTTTTATAGAGAGGAAGAGAGAAAGATAGTTAGAAACATGAGGAGAGAGAAACATCGATCAGCTGCATCTTGCACACCCCCTACTGGGGATGTGCCCGCAACCAAGGTACATGCCCTTGACCGGAATCGAACCTGGGATCTTCCAGTCCACAGGCCGAAGCTCTATTCACTGAACCGTTTTCGGCTGTTTTTTTTTTTTTTTTGGCTGTATTTTTTTTAATATATATTTCTATTGATCTCAAAGAGGACAGAGAGAGAGAGAGATAGAAACATCAAGATGAGAGAGAGTCATTGTTTGGCTGCCTCCTGCCCATCAAGCCGCAACCCAGGCATACGCCCTTGATCAGAATCAAACCCGTGACCCTTCAGTCTGCAGGCCAACACTCTAGCCCCTGAGCCAAACTAGCCAGGGCCTTTTTTGTGTTTTTAACTCTCTCTATAAATCAGTATCCCTAGAATAAAAAGAAGAAACAGGTAGATAACTACACTTATTTGACCCCTTTTTAAAGGGGTCAAAATTAGGTGTCAGTGATTCCTTTGAAGTGGGGATAGTGACTAGAAGGGAGCAAGAACAAACTTCTAAGTTGCCCAATGCTGATTATACAGATATATTTACTTTGTAAAAAAGTTAGCTGCACAAGTTATATTGAAAAAGTAACATAACAAACCCTGTATATTAAACCTTCCATTTTTTTGTCTGGTGTAGCAGTACATTTTAAATTTTAAAAGGACCTGCAGCAGTGGGCAGTCACTTTAAAAAGCAGCAGGGAGGGAATGAAACAATGTGCCCAATCTGACTATCTATAATTATAAAAGCCTAAGTGACTGTTAGACTGTTTGACAGTGTATGATGCACACTGACCACCAGGGGACAGGCACTCCAACCAGTAGGTTTAACTTGCTGCTGGGGCCTGGCCAATCAGGACTGGGCAAGACGGGCCATACACACTCTGGAGCCCTCCTGTGGTCCCTCCCCAGTCAGCGGCCTCGATCGGCCCCAATTGGGACTGGGCAAAATGGCCCCAGTCAGCAGCCAGATCAGGGGATTGGGTGAGATGGGCCGGATATGCCCTGTAGCCCTCCTGCGGTCCCTCCCTGGCCCCGATCATGCACCTATGGAGTCCCTTGGCCTAGCCTGTGCCCTTTCACAATCCAGGACCCCTTGGGGGGATGTCTGTAGGTCAGATTGAGAGAACCCACTGGTGCACAAATCCATGCACCAGGCCTTTAGTAAATCTATATACCTTCTTTGACAGCAGTAATGAAAGTTGTGGATTCTCTAAATATTAAGACAACCAGATTTGAATTTTTTTACTACAAGAACTGAACATTGGTGATATCAGTTGGGATATAAACAGAGATAGGACACAGAGAGGAAATTAGAAAATTTAGCATTAAATATTTAGTTTTACTTTCTTTCCCATATCCAGTAAGACCAACCACCAAACCCTACAGATTTTACATCCTAAGCAGCTCTTTTCAGGTCCTCATCATCTCACCCCTATATGTAGCAATAGCCTCTAAACTGATCTCCCTCCTTACAGGCTAGCTCCCATCCCCAAGCCCCATAGAGCTGCCAAAGTGACCTAAAACATATATTTGCCGAGACCGGTTTGGCTCAATGGATAGAGCGTCGGCTTGAGGACTGAAGGGTCCCAGGTTCGATTCCGGTCAAGGGCATGTACCTTGGTTGCGGGCATATCCCCAGTAGGGGGTGTGCAAGAGGCAGCTGATCGATGACTTTCTCTCATCGATATTTCTAACTCTCTATCTCTCTCCCTTCCTCTCTCTGTACAAAATCAATAAAATATATTTTAAAAAAACACATATATTTAACCACATCACTGCACGAAACCCTCAGTATACCAAACCACAATACATCAAAGCAAGAAAAGAAGCTACACTGGTTTTTGAAGAGACAGAAGAAAGCTGCATACCAGCAATAGCTATCATTTATTTCCTTTTTACCTCCACTGCACCCTTAAGACACATCTAAAAATTCCAGTCGGAAGTCACTGGCTTCCGTGACCAATTAAACTTCTCCAGCATGGCCCTTTAAGTCTTTTGATTATCTTATTTCTAGATGGTTATATAACAACTGGTAAGACCCTAGCCGGTTGGGGTCAGTGTCGGCCTGCGGACTAAAGGGTCCTGGGTTTGATCCCAGTCAAGAATATCTGCCTCGGTTGCCAGCTTGCTCCCCAGCCTTTAGTTGGGGGAGACAACCAATCAATATGTCTCTCTCCCATATCAATGTTTCTCTCTCTGTGTCTCTCCACCTCCAGTTTACTTTCTCTAAAAATCAGTGGGAAAATATCCTGAGGTAAGGATTAACAGAAAACAAAAACTAGTCAAAAACTAAGCCAGACCTCAGTTTTAGAATGAGTTCTGCTACCAACCAGCTATGAAACTTGAGAAAATCACTTAAACTCTCGAAACCTCAGTTTTGGTTAAATAATCTATTAATAGCACCTACTTCATAGATTGTGTGATTACATGAAATAATGCAAGTACAGTGATTAGCACAGTGTCTATATAGTAAATTATCAATAAATATTAACTATTAGAATATTTCTCTCTTGCCTAGCCGGTTTGGCTCATTGGACAGAGTGTCCGCCTGTGAACCGAAGGGTCCCGGGTTCAATTCCAGTCAAGGGCACGCACCTCAGTTGCAGGCTCCTCCCTGGCCCAGGCCCTGGTCAGGGCACGTGCAGGAAACAACCAATTGATGTGTTTCTCTCACATCGATGTTTCTCTCTGTCTCTCCCTCTCTTCCACTCTCTCTAAAATCAACAGAAAAATATCCTCAGGTGAGAATTTAAAAAAAAAAAAAAAAGATATTTGTCTCTTTATTGCCCACATTATGCTTCACATTTTACCCTCCAGTTTATTGAACATTGTTTCAAAGCCTCTCTTTCCTTTCAAAAGCTCTTCCCAAACCCTGAAATACCTTTTCCTACACTATCAGTCTGGAAAACTTCTAGTCAGACTTCCTGACTGCCCTTCTCAACACTTTATGCACTTCTTCCCCTGTACTAATAATACACTTTACACATTTGTTCCACTATTCCCTGCATTACATTATACTGTAATTACCTGTTTATATGGGGAACTCCCCTCCTAGACTGAAGTTCCTAGAAGAAAGGAACCATACCTTATTTCTCTTTTCATTCCTACGGCCTAGTCCAGCTTCTGCCTATATAAAAACATCTCAAAATATGTTTTTAAATTTCAAGCTAATGCCCTGACTGGTTTGTCTCAGTGGATAGAGTGTCAGCCTGTAGAATGAAAGGTCCCAAGTTCAATGGCATGTACCTTGGTTGCGGGCACATCCTCAGTAGGAGGTGTGCAGGAGGCAGCTGATCAATGTTTCTCATCAATGTCTCTAACTCTCTATTCTTTTCCCTTCCTCTCTGTAAAAAAAATCAATAAAATATTAAAATATATTTTTAAAAATAAATAAATTTCGAGCTAATATTTATCAAACACCAGTAAGTGCCAGACACTAGGTAAAGAGTTCTGCTAAGTTTCCTTTTTTTTTAATAAAGAAATAAATGAAATGTCAAAGACATAAAAAATACTCTTGCTAGAAGTCTTGTCTTCAACATACTTCAAATCAGCAATCTCCAACAGAAATATAATGTGAACCACGTATATTGTTTTATTTTATTTTTTAATCCTCATCCGAAGATATTTTTCCAGTGATTTTTAGAGACAGTGGAAGAGAGAGGGAAAGACAGAAACATCGATGTGAAAGAAACACATCGATTAGTTGCCTCCTGGCCCAGGCCAGCGAGGACCCTGCAACCAAGGTACCTGCCCTTGACCAGAATCAAACCCAGGACCCTTTAGTCCACAGGCCTACGCTCTATCCACTGAGCCAAACTGGCTAGGGCAGTGACATATATAATTTTAAATCTTCTATTAGCTACATTTTAAAAACAAAACAGTTAATTCCATTAATGACATATTTATTTAACCCAGTATATCCAAATTTTATGATATATTTATTTAACCCAGTATATCCAAATTTTATCATTTCAACTTATAATCAATAAATTTTTCATTCTTTTTTCCTTACTAAGTCCTCAAAATCCAGTATCTATTTTACACATACAGTACATCTCAATCATTCCAAGTGTTTATTGGTAGTCACATGTGGCTAGTAGCTACCATATGGGATAGCACAGTCTTAAAAGTGCTGGAAAAAACTTTACAATGGAAAAAGTCACCAATATCGCCCCAATACACTTAATTTAAAAAAAGATCTTACAGAAGAAATAGAAGGGGAAAAAAAACGCCAGGAGTTTGGCATTTATGCAGCAAACTTTCAGCCACAGCAGGATAAAAAACTGGATAAAGGATAAAGGATAATTAGGCAGGATTCAAATACCTAAAGCTATTCTTCAATTATCATTCAATTTAATTCAGCTACCAACAATGTATCTGGCCCTGCACTTGGTGCTGGGAACAAATAAGACCCAATTGCCTGCCTTCAAGGACTTGACTGCTTCCTCAGATCAATGAAGAAACATGTCTTTAAAATAAGTACCTAAATATATAATATTTATATGTCCCAAAAAGGTACATATAAAATGTTGGCTTGAAGGAAGATAAGAGAATACGCTTTCTATTCCCAAATTATGCAGAAACAGTGAAAAATATTCCCTCTGCTCTATCCTTCAGCTAGTCAAAACTAAGGTCATAATTCAGTAAGATACACAATTTCCTCCCTGTTGCTCAGGTCCCTCATTTTAAAATTGCAATTGCTTATTTCTACTGCCCTATCCTAAAAACGACTATTTATAAAAGTAAAGCAATAACTAGGTTAAACAGTACTTTCTTTGGCTAAAATGTCCATTTAAATTAGACATGGGATCCAAAAACATTTCTAGCTTATCATTTAAGCCCAAAATTTCATAATAATCAACTATCTAGCCAGGGATTGATTAGGTAGAATATATACTGAGATGTTCCATAATTAAATTTTCCATAGGTATTTAATATTTTCTCCTTGAGTATATTTGACAATGTTAATTAAATCCGTTACCTCTGAGAGAGATGCATCAACCTTGGAAGAAATTTTCATGTCTATCCATGGCTGGTAGTTTTCAAGGAGCAAGGAAGGCCTAAAGAAAATCATACGATTCAATTGCTTGCGATCCAAAATGTAGCTGGAAGGATCAAGAAATAAAAATATTTAACTTACCTATGTCGTTTACATTTCACTTTACCACAAACAGCACAGCTGCGACCTTGAGGAAATAATTCTTGAAGTCCTAACTGCTAAAAAAGGAAAATATGGGAAGGGGAAGAGGAAGATGGAAATTTGTCTTTACTTCACTTATCATCTTGACAAAAGAGAATCCATTTTTCCAAATTTTATTGTATGAATTCAGAGGGCTTTTTTATTATTATTATTATCTGCTTTAACACTAAAACCGTTCTTTGTAATAAATACTACATGCTAGCCTAAATAGACAACAGAGAAAAAACACCTTTACAATACTTAAGCCTAGTTCCCAAGGTTATAATTCAAGTTAATTTTTAAGATCACTTATAAAAAAAATCAATCTATATTTAAAAATAATAGTCTATGGCAAAAAGTATAAGAAAAAACTATTTTCTATGTGATAACTATTAAGGTTACAAAGCACCACTTTCAGCTGTTTTCTCTGCATATAAATACCAATATACGTGAGATGAGGAACTGCATCAACTTAAGAATTACCAAGTAAAACTTCAAGATATTCCTCTAAATCCTGATCTACATACTCGGGACTTTGTCTACCAGAGATAGATTTAATACACTACTATCTTTATCAAATTTCAGAAATACAAATTATTTTGGTTAAGCAAACTAATTATTTCACTGTTTGTTTCTATGAAACAAATATTTAGTAAATTAATGGGGTTGAATTAATTGTGCCTGTGCCTCAGAATCACCTTGAAAACTTTTTAAACAAGTATTGATTATAAAGCTATTATAGAACTATTCAATCAAAATCTATAGGGCCCGGTAATCTTTATTCTTAAAGATTTCCCAGGTGACTCTACAATACAAACAATTTTGGGAACCTCTTTTTATTTTATTGTCCTTATAGTTAATATGCAGTTAGAGAACACGCTGAAATTGCAAATCTCAACTTTCTGAAAATTTTGTATTTTCTTTTTATAGCTCCTCCTAAGAGAACTGTAGACTTTTAAAAAATAGACATATGTAAATTTCATTTTGAAAATGTTCTGATGTCTTCCATTATGTAGCAGATATATATATGTTTTTAATTACCGCTTTAACATGTTTTCAATAATAATATCAAACAGCATAAGATCAGACATACTGACTTTTATAAATAAGAACACATAAATTTTACCTTGGGTTTGTATTTTATTGTGAAGAGCATATTCGGTAAGAGAGAATCAGGTCCTAATGAGCAGTAGAAAGTGACAACTCCAGCAACAAAGGACCAGAAGATCATTAAAATATGAAGATACCTTAGAAATAAATAAAAATAATTATTAGAACAAAATAAAATAAAATAAAAATAACACTACATCATCCCTTCATTGATTTAACGAGTATTTATTAAGCACCTGTTATATTAGATTGAAGCAATTTCTCTAATCATGGTTTTCAGGATTGTATTTGTCTGCTATAAGAATCACAAAATGTATGCTATCAAAAGAAAATTTCATTTAAAGTATAAAGAAGCATATTTTTAAGATATATAAATGTCTAATCACTATGTTATACAACTGAAACCAATATACTGTATTGTCAATTGTAATTAAAAATAAACTTTAGCCGAAACCGGTTTGGCTCAGTGGATAGAGCATCAGCCTGCGGACTGAAGGGTCCTGGGTTCGATTCCGGTCAAGGGCATGTGCCTTGGTTGCGGGCACATCCCCAGTAGGGGGTGTGCAGGAGGCAGCTGATCGATGATTCTCTCTCATCGATATTTCTAACTCTCTATCCCTCTTTCTTCCTCTCTGTAAAAAATCAATAAAATATATTTTTTAAATAAAATAAAAATAAACTTTAAAAATAAATAAATAAATGGAGGAAAAGCTTAAAAAATAAAGTATAAGGAAGTATAAATTCTCACTATTTCATAATTTGGTACCTAAGTTGTCATGTTTAACTAGCCTATACTACATTCTTCCAGAATACCTTCCAATAATATTTTACTATTCATATCCCACCAAAATTCTGATTTTGCATTAAATAAAAAAAGTAACTTATGGAGTACCTATTTTATTCCACCCAGTACTAGGCCCTGGAACTATATTAGGAAACAGAAGTGCCATGGTATGTATTAATATTTGCATGGAAAATGCTGTGTAGTATGTGAAATAAGTGAGTGAGTGCAATATAATGTGATCATGAGTTCTATATTATGACAGAGAAAGTACACATGATATCGGAACAACTCAGGCAGAAGACACAGCCCAAAACTGAAAGGACAGAAAATTCTTTCAGTGAAAGAAAGTAATGTCTATGGAAAAACTAAGAGTGAGTAGTAGAAAAACAACAGAAGAGCATAGGGTTAGAGAAATGAGGGTGTGGACATGAAGTAGGGGAATTCAAACGAGATAACTAAGTAAGCTAAGCATAGTTATAAGGAAGAAACTGCTTTAAGATGAATCTAAAAAAAAAAAAAAAACAAGCAGAAGCCAGATGATAATGTCATAAAATAAGTCATGTTAAGATCTCAATACAGGCAGACCTCACACTGCATAGTTCTGATACAGTATTCATGAATTTCAGTTACCATGATTTTATGAAACATCAGCCCCTAACAACAAAGTTCAAATTCTAATTACCATATTATGTTTAACTGTGAGTAAATGCATTAAGTACAAACTTTTGTGCTGGCTCTTCAGTCCACAAATCATTAAGTAGTGAGAAGAGAATGAAGCTAGTCCACAGAGAGAAGAAAAAGGAAAGTGAAGAAACAGCCACTGCATCATCTAAGTGCTCTCTCACTCAGCATTTAAAACATAAACAGCATTATCACCCACTCAAAAAACAGACATGGCTTAATGAAATACAAACCCTCAGACTTTTTTTTTTTTTTTTTTTTTTTAATGAAGCACTCAGAACAGTGTCTGGCACATGTGTCTTTGGTTTTTTTGTTTGTTTGTTTTAATATATTTTATTGATTTTTTTACAGAGAGGAAGAGAGAGGGATAGAGAGCTAGGAACGTCAATGAGAGAGAAACATCGACCAGCTGCCTCTTGCACACCCCCTCCTGGGGATGTGCCCGCAACCAACGTACATGCCCCCGACCGAAATCCAACCTGGGACCCTTCAGTCCACAGACCGACGCTCTACCACTGAGCCAAACCGGTTTCAGCGAAACCCCTCAGACTTTAATGGTCCCTTTCTTTCTGGTCACAATTCACTCTTATACCTTATTTTTCTCCCACTCCTTTATACAAAGCTTCACTCAACCAATATAGCTTCCTTGACATCAAGCTATTTAAAACAAAACAAAACAAAAAACAGTAACCACCATGCTGTTGTCTGTATCTGTGAGTTTTTGTCTGTCTTTCTCATGTCATCTCAATAAATTTATGTCTGGAAACTAACTCAAGTTACAGAGGTATTCACAGAGAAAATAATGAAATGCATGTCCACAGCTGCTTATTGAAAATCATTTTGAACCAGACAGATACAACTCAGAATTCTTACTTTTGAGGATTCTTAAACAGTGCTACACTTCATATTTCATATAACACCTCTATAAGATCTGATTCAGTACTCCATAATCAGATATTAAAATTTTGCCATAAAACATTAGCAATAAGAAAAAATTGGAAATAAAAACTGTAAGTAGTCTCATGTCTGTTTAGGTCAAGTTTTGTCATTAAATGTAATTAATTGGTACCAAACTTAGGGGAAAAGTTACATCTTCAGAGCTTTTTTGATTTCAGAATTACAGATTAGGAGTTGTAGACCTGTATTGGATAATAAACACTGCATGCAATGTGTGTGGGCTATAAGTAAGACAAGCAATAACTAAGGCATTATTCAAAAAGGAAATCTACAGCTTTAAATGCATTAACCCTGTGGTTCTCAAGCAATGGTGATTTTTCCCCTCCAAGGGACCAGTGGAGACATTTTTTATTGTCACAACTATGGGGAGTGAAATTAGGGTGGGGATGCACTACTGACATCAAGTAGCTAGAGGCCAAAGCTGCTGTTAAATATCTTATAACAAACAGGACAGTCCTCACGACAAAGAAATATCTGACCCAAACCCAAAAGTGTTGAGATTGAGAAACACTGCATTAATCAGAGACCAAAAAAAATACTGAAACCCAACAACCTAAGCATTCAGAATATGTGTGTGTGTCTGGGAGGGAGGACAAATTCAAACTCATAAAAAGAAAAGGAAAAGGAAAGAGAAGAACAAATCAACAAAGTAGGTAACAGTGACAAGAGATAATAAAAAGTAGGTTGGTTCTTTGGAAGAATTAATAAAATATGCAAGCAACTAACTAGATCCTACTGGAAGTTATTAGGTCACCAAGTATTCTAAACAGTGGTAATTAAAACAGTAAGAATTTATCCTGCTTTTCCAATTTGAGCTGCACTTCATTGTAACTAAACAGACCTATTAGTTGGAGTAAAGCAATTTTAGTTTTAAAAAGAATTCAAATTTAAAAGTATAGAAGGAATGAAAGAATGAGAAAATCATGTTGCAATCTATAATAAAGTAACTGATTTATGATATAAATAAGTTGTAAAGCGAAACAGAAAGTTTGTTTTGGTTTTTGAAAGTTTGTTTGGCCCTGACTAGAGTGGCTCATTTTGTTGGAGCACCATCCCATGCACTGAAAGATCAATGGTTCAATTCCTGATCAGTTCTGTCCCCAGTCATGGCGCATACATAGGTATAGTTCTGTCCCCAGTCAGGGCACATACATTGGCAATCAACTGATGTATCTTTCTCACATTGATGTTTTTCTCTCCCTTCCTCCCCCTTTAAAATCAATAAAAATAAAAATTGTTTTATAAAAAAAAAAGGACATTTGTTTGATACCATACCTTTAAAGGTATTAGCTACCACTACCTGAATCCACAAAAAGTGCGGCTCCTCCCGCTTATGTGGAGTAATCCTCTGAGGTGACATAATGGAATGTACACAGTCTAGCTGAAGTATTCTTGTATCCCACCAAAAACATCTACATCTAATTGAGTCTACAGATCTAACACACTGTCACAAAACATATGAAGGTGAAAATAAAAAAATAAGACAACCTAAGAAAACCATCAGCAAAATACAGAGAGTGAACAAAATGACCCAGTTTCTTCAACAAGTCAATGTCAATGGGGGGAAAAAAGAGCATGCTTTGATACAACCCTTGAGCTAAGAAAGTTTTTACATTTTTAAAGGGTTCTTTAAAAAAGAATATGACTCTAGCTGGTATGGCTCAGTGGATAGAGTGTCAGCCTGTGGACTGAAGGATCCCAGGTTCAATTCCAGTCAAGGGCACATGCCCGGGTTGTAGGCTCAATTCCCAGTATGTGGCGTGCAGGAGGCAGCCGATCAGTGATTCTCTCTCATCATTGATGTTTCTCTCTCCCACTCTCCCTTCCTCTCTGAAATCAATAATATATTTTTTAACCCTTTGCACTCCGCTGTCCCCTCTCAGGGGACATCGGAATTCTAGCATATCACTCGGATGTCCCCTATCAGGGGACATTGCAGTTTATTAGTGATTACGAGGAATTGAGTTAATTCAACGCACGTTTCGCAAAGTAGCGTCGAGTAGCTGGTAGCCAATGTCCAGAATGGTTCGGAGTGCAAAGGGTTAAAAAAGAATACAGAACAGAGACTTCATGTAGGCCACAAAGCGTAAAATACTTACTGACACTACATTAAAAGTTTGCCAACTCTTTCTAGATTATGAGATTCACAAAAGTTTAAGAGATGTAGCAACCACATATAATGAATGAATCTAGTTTAAATCCTGATACAAATGCACTTTTCTCTAAGTTATAAATAAAAAGAAAATTGAAGCTAATCATAGTACCAATTTTATAGTATTGTAATGATATATGAAAGAAAAATAACTACTAGCATTTAATAAAAGCACGCTCTATGTATTGAGCACCATTCTAAGCACTTTCCATCTTTCCATGTATTAATCTACTTAATCATCAAAATAACCATGTAATGTAGGTACTAGCATTACCCCATTTTACAGATAGGGAGACTGTGACAGAGAAAAGTTAGATTACTATCCAAAGTCATGTAACTGGTGAGTAGAGGAGTCGGAATCAAATTCTCACAGTCAAGCTTCAGTCAGAACTTTCAAACACAATTTATTATGTTGAGACAATTTGGAGCTTGGGAGGGAGGAAGGTAATACAAAAAGGACCGTGTGCCTAAATGCTACATTTGCCGTGTGTATTATTAGACATTTGTGATCTTTTGCCTACATGTTGTCTCAAAATGAATGTGCCTCCTTTGGTGCACAGCTTAAGGATGAAGAGGATAAGCTAGTCCTTCTTTTAAGTAGACACCTCAATTTAATGACTTTCAATTTTTTAAAAAATCATTTCTTGAAAGTATCTATTGAGCAGATCTTTCTATTTCTTCTATTTCTATTGTTATGCCCAAGTGTTTTTGTTTTTGTTTTCTGAGTAGATTTGCCTAGCACTTTTCCACTCTCAGAAGAGGCTATATTTTCTTGTATAACAATCTTTCAAAAATGGTCTAAGCATACATGTTTGTATGTATATGTGAATACACACATATTTTTTAAAGAAAAGCAAACAATACACTGAAAAGCTCCAGCCAGTGTGAACTCAGTGGTTGAGCATTGACCTACGAACCAGGAGGAAACGATTTGATTCCTAAGCAGGGCACATGCCCAGTTTGCAGACTTGATCTCCAGTGGGGGGTGTGCAGGAGGTGGCCAATCAATGATTCTCTCTCCTCATTGATGTTTTCTCTCTCTCCTCCCTTCCTCTCTGAAATCAATAAAAATATATTTTAAAAAATAATAATACACTGAAAAGTACACTATATGCACTTCCTGCACCTTCCAAAAGCTTTTTCCTGGAAAAGGGATACCTTAATCATTCTATTAGTCAAGACTAATGTTTAAAATCACTTTTGCTGATTCAAGGACAACGCATGGAAAATACCAAAAAGTGTATACAAAATCAATTTCAGTCAAAAACCCAACCACTCAGAGATAACATTAGTTCCTTCTTCCTTTGCATAATACAATGATACAGGGTACAGATTATATGGTATGAAAATCAGATCATATCCTAGGACTTCTTAACATAGAACACTATGTATAAGTAGACACCTCAGAAATCTAGTTCAACTTGCTCCCATGTGGTTGTCCTACATTGAAGATCAAAAATGACCTGACTCCCGCCGAGACCGGTTTGGCTCAATGGATAGAGCGTCGGCTTGGGGACTGAAGGGTCCCGGGTTCGATTCCGGTCAGGGGCATGTACCTTGGTTGTGGGCATATCCCCGGTAGGGGGTGTGCAAGAGGCAGCTGATTGATGACTCTCTCTCATCGATGTTTCTAGCTCTCTGTCTCTCTCCCTTCCGCTCTGTACAAAATCAATAAAATATATATTAAAAAAAAAAAAAAATGACCTGACTCCCAAAGGATATAAAAAGTAAATGAATCACTGGACAGCCAGCCAGAGTGGCTCAGTGATTGAGCATGCACTCATTCCATGAACCACAGTGGAATTTCTGGTCAGGGCACATGCTCAGGTCTCAAGCTCCAGGTCCAGTAGGGGGCAAGCAGAAGGCAGCCAATCAATGGTTCTCTGTCATTATTGATGTTCCTCTCTCTCCCTCTCCCTTCCTCTCTGAAATCAATAAAGATTTTAAATTTTTTTTTTAAAAAGATGGTAAAAGAGGAATAAATGGTGATGGCAGGAGACCAGCTGTGTGTAATAGAATTGTGCACCTGAAACCTATATAATTTTATTAACCATAAAGAGTACAGTTGATTGCATGTTCAAAACAGAGAAAACATCGTGCACATGCTGTCGCTGACAATTCTCAGACTCCTTTCCACCAAAAGCATTCTGGACCTAATTTTAAAGGAAAAGTTCTCCTCTACTGCCTATTTCATCGCTACCGTTTCTAGAAAAAGCAAAATGACAGAAATCTACACGTTCATTTCAGGGGCAGGACCTTCCAATTTCAAAACATCAACTGAATTTAGCAATTTTAACTCTCGGCCTTATCTTTAGAAACATTCTAGAGATGTTGACTCGGGAAACTAATTTGCTTCCTGACTGCAGATCAACAAATCTTTGTACCCAGCAGCAGAGATCAGCTGTAAGAGGTGTGTGTGTGTGTCTCGGGTGCGCAGTGACAGCCTGGGAATCTGGAAGGTGTGTGTGTGTGTGTGTGTGTGTCTGTGTCATGGTGCGAAGTGACAGCCCGGGAATCTCTAAGGGGTGTGTGTGTGTGTGTGTGTGTGTTTGTGTGTCTCGGGTGTGCAGTGACAGCCCTGGAATCTGTAAGGGGTGTGTGTGTGTATGTGTGTGTGTGTGTGTGTGTGTCTCGGGTGCGCAGTGACAGCCCGGGAATCTGGAATGGGTGTGTGTGTGTGTGTGTGTGTGTGTGTGTGTGTATGTCTCGGGTGCGCAGTGACAGCCCGGGAATCTGGAAGGGGTGTGTGTGTGTGTCTGTGTGTGTGTGTGTTTGTGTGTCTCGGGTGCGCAGTGACAGCCCGGGAATCTGTAAGGGGTGTGTGTGTGTGTGTGTGTGTGTGTGTGTGTGTGTCCTGGTGCACAGTGACAGCCCAGGAATCAGGAAGGGGTGTGTATGTGTGTGTGTGTGTATGTGTATGTGTCTGTGTGTGTGTGTCTGTGCCCTGGTGAGCAGTGACAGCCCGGGGGTGTGGAGGGGGGTGTGTGTCTGCCTGTGTGTGTGTGTGTGTGTGTGTGTGTCTGTCTGTCTGTTTGTGTCCAGGTGCGCAGTGACAGCCCAGGAATCTGGAAGGGGTGTGTGTGTGTGTGTGTGTGTGTCTCGGGTGCACAGTGACAGCCCGGGAATCTGTAAGGGGTGTGTGTGTGTGTGTGTATGTGTGTGTGTGTGTGTGTCTGTCTGTCTGTGTCCAGGTGTGCAGTGACAGCCCGGGAATCTGGAAGGGGTGTGTGTGTGGGTGTGTATGTGTGTCTGTGTCTGTGCCCCGGTGAGCAGTGACAGCCCGGGGATGTGGAAGGGGGGAGTGTCTGTCTGTGTGTGTGTGTGTGTGTGTGTGTGTGTGTGTGTGTGTCTGTCTGTCTGTCTGTCTGTCTGTGTCCAGGTGTGCAGTGACAGCCCAGGAATCTGCGACCGGACCTTGAACCCTCCGCGTCAGCTGACTGCACCGCCTCGGCGCGGTCTCCCTCGGGCCGGAGTTCCCGGTTTCCCCCCTCGGGAAAGCGTCCATGACGAACCAGGTTTTAAGAAGTGAGAGACCAGACAGGAATCGATCGGACCGGCTGGCCTAGGAGCCGGGGCCTGGGGAACCGGCACTTGAGCAGAGCCGTCGCCCGCACTTCCGGGCCCCGCCGCCCGGCCGGGCTCCCCGCGGCGGCCGCCCCCAGAGGCCTCGCAGCCGCCCGGGTCCCTCACTACGCAGCCTGCGGCCCCGGGCCCGGGCGCTCCGCGGCGTTACCTGTTGAGGAGCAGGGAGGCGGCGCTGAGGCAGAGCAGCAGGAAGCAGAAGAGCGGGTACTGGCGGCAGATCTCGCGCCCCACGTCCAGCCGAAGCCGCTGCCTCAGCTTCTCCGACATGGCCCGAATCCAGGGCACCATCGCCACCGGCGGCGTTGGGGCTGTGCTGCTACAGACTGAGGTCGAGGCGACCCCCATTCACCTCCGCGTCTCCGCCCGCCCGGCTGCCGGCCCGCCGGCCGACTCCCACCGCCGCCGACCGGCGGACTGTCCCGGGGCTCGGGTGCCCAAGCCCCGCCCAGGGGCCCTGCTGCGCGTGCGCGGCCGCCGGCCAGCGCAGACGCACCACTTGCCCCAGGTCGGCCCCCGTGCCTGCCCCCGCGCGTGTCGCCCCTCCGCCCTCGCCGGCCTTCCAAAGGGGATCCCGCACCTCCGCGGCCCGCCCGGAGGAACTGCAGCCCCCCGCAGCCATCCAGCCCTGCCTGCGGGATACCTGGAGCTCGCGGAGAGGCTGGGAGCTGTAGTCTTTGTGACGCGAACCCGTGAAGGGGTGGGGTGCAGGGTGGCGGCCCCGCCCCGCAGGTCCGCGTCCTCCCCGCAGGTTCAGCGCTGCGGTGGAGACAGGTGTGAGCTTTGCGGGTACGACCTAGGGGGAGAGAAGAGGGGCGCTTGGGAACCCTAGTTTTGCGTGAGGCGCGGGTAATTCCGGCCTGGATTACGGAAGAGTCACACCCACAGGTTCTAAAACCAGCTCCACTTTCTACAGGAAATGCTAATTTAATCTCTCTCAACACCTAGATCCTCCACTCTAACACAGAAATATCTTCTTCATAAGCTCTAGTCATTACATGGGGCGGAAACTGACTATTAAAGGTCTCTCTACAATGCTTAATGCAAAAGGTTTCTTATTTTGTGGGTTTATGAGCATGACAAAAAACAGCCAAACCAATTAGCTTGATTTGGATTATAATCTAAAATGACAATGATGGGAAGTCAAAGTTACCTTACAGGAAACTGAGGACTTCAATGGCTGTCCTGAAGTTCAAACCTGCAGTGTCCAATAAAGTAACTAAGCCGAAACCGGTTTGGCTCAGTGGACAGAGCGGCGGCCTGCAGATTGAAAGGTCCCAGGTTCGATTCCAGTAAAGGGCATATACCTTGGTTGGGGGCACATCCCCAGTAGGAGATGTGCAAGAGGTAGCTGATCAATGATTCTCTCTCAATTATGTTTCTAACTCTCTATCCCTCTCCCTTCCCCTCTGTGAAAAATCAATAAAACATTTTTTTAAAGTAGCTAATAGCCATTATCTGGCTGTTGAATGTTTGAAATGTGATTAAATAGACATGTTATACCTATAAAATACACACCAGATTTTGAAGATGGCATGAAAACAATATAAACTATCTCAATTTTTAAAACTTGATTACATGTTAAGTGAAATTTTGGAAATATTGGCTAAAAAATATTAACCGCCTGTTTCTTCTATAATGTGGCAACTAAAACTTTTAAATTACATATGTAGCTTGCACTGTGTATATCTACTAGACAGTACTGGTTCAGACTAATGTTAGCTGTGGAGAGTTAGCACAATTAAATACATAAATTTTTCATAAATCTTACAATTATCATGTGTGCTAAGGATACATTTTCAAATTATAAAAAGTAAAAAATGGTTGATAATGCATTCACCTAAGGGGCTCATAAACATCAAACTGCAATCCAATAATATCTCCAATATTGGATATTTATTGAATATTTATAGAATTAGCAGATATAAAGCACTGTGCTAAAGGTGGTAGTAGGTACAATGATTTAGATGAATTTTTCTGACCTCCAAAGGAGACATGTCACACGTCACATATGAAAATGTATAATAGAGGGCATATTTATATACCAGAGGCCCGGTGCACGAAATTCATGCATGGGGAGGGGGATAGTGGTCCCCTCAGCCCACTCTGCACTCTTTCCAATCCAGGATCACTCTCAAAATCCAGGACCACTGGCTCCTAACTGCTCACTGCCTGCCTTCCCGATCACCCCTAACTGCCACCCCCCTGCTGACCTGGTCACCTCCAACTGCTCCCCCTACCTGCCTAGTTGCTCCCAACTGCCCCCCTTGCCCCACTGGCCTGGTCGCCCTTAACTGCCCTCCTGCCTGTCTGGTTTCCCCACACAGCTTGCTGCTGTTATTTGGTCACTCCTCACTTATCCCCCTGCCAGCCTGGTCACCCCATACAGCCTGTTCGGTCATCTGTTCAGTTGCAATGGTCCTTAGACTTTTGTATATATAGATAAGGACTGTAGTAGTTTTCTGCTATTGTTGTTTTAATGACAGATGATGGCAAAGGGAAACTTTCAACTGATGAGGATCAAAAAAGGCTTCTGGAAAGATAATTTGAGCAAAGACTAGAATTTCTTGATTTACTTTAATTTTCAGAAGTCATGCAGCACAGGCAATGTTAACTATTTAAAATGCTTTTAAATAATTAAATCTGACTTCCCCCACCCCACCAGCAAATTCTACAAATTGCTTTCTATATTGGCAGAGGAATATGAAAAGAGTGTTAAATACCAGTAATCAGACCTCCTTAACTCATGACCCTGAATAAACACCAATTTGTTGAGGGCCATTATTTGTGTGGGCTGAGTGTCAGCAAAAGGATAAATGAATACACAACTATCCCTAGAAGCCATTTCAGTTCCTATTTCTCATAGATCCCTCCTATATAATCTTGGAGCATGCTCTCCTATCACAGGATTAGCTGTTTTTCTCCCCTATGTCTCAAAGCATAGAAGTTCATATTTTACCTTTTGTGGCACTGTTATCTTTACTCTTAACTTTACATCTCATAACCCTCTTCTCCCCACAACCTACCTTCTGTATCAACCTCTAGAAATTAAGCATCCATTAAAGAAACAACTGATTTTTTTACTCCATGAAATATTCCTTTCCTAGGTTTTCAAAATAGGAACTCATTACAATGGAGAATATGTAATTCAAGAAAGAGCATCAAGGGGTTTTTATGAAACCCCTTGATGCTGCAACCAAGTTTAATATGTTCAAAATGCACATATTAATATGTGCAAATGGGTAGATCTGAAGGACTACAATGTTATATAATCCCTTGGCTCAAATAGATACTCTCTGGGTAGAAACTGTTTTGACCATGAAATTGTGGGTGGTCTCAGCACCAAAAAGTTAAGCATTTAATATTTGTCACCTTGTTTCTAAGATATGATGGAATAAGCCTCTTCTCAAACCTCACTTTCATGGAAATAGGTAGTTGGTTATAACTTCAGAAAATGTAAATTATTTAGTAACTGATTAGAAACTGAAAATAATGTTCACCTGCCTGTTGATAAATATTAAAGATTGATTAGAAAGGCACTTACAACCTGTCACCACTGTTCATCTTGTACAAGATGGCCAATGTTTTTCTTAACTATTTTTAAAAGTTACTCTTAAAATAAAACATTCCACTTTTTTTTTTTTAACCTGGACACATGCCCTGACCAGGAATAACTGTGACCTCCTGGTTCATGGACCAATGTTCAATCACTGAACCACACCAGTGGGACTATTTCTTGTTAACTAAAGATTTAAAAAAAAAAAAAAAAAAATCTTAACAATATTCAGTTGTTTATATTTTCACCTGACTCCAATAACTTCTAAAAATATTTCGGAAAGGCTTTGCAATCCTTCCTCCTCTTACCTCTTGATAAGCTATATCCTAAAATATATTTTTAAAAAAAAAGTACTTTCATGTGGTACATATAAACGATCATGGAATTAGGCACACTTCAGATACCATGAAAATCACTAATATTGATATGATACTTCAATTCCAACTCTAGTAAGGTTACTACCAAATATTTAAAATCAATTTTTATATTCACTAACTTTTCCTATTTTGATAAGCTCATCCCATCTATAATAAACTCAGTATGTTATATCCAAGGAGAAATCTTAAATGAGAAAATTATGGAAATTTTTTAAAAAATATATTTTGATTTCTTACAGAGAGTAAGGGAGAGGGATAGTTAGAAACATTGATGAGAAACATCAATCAGCTGCCTCCTAAACAACTCCCACTGGAAATGTGCCTGCAACCAAGGTATGTGCCTTTGACCAGAATTGAACCTGGGACCTCAGTCCCCAGACCAATGCTCTATCCACTGAGCCAAACCGGTTTGGGCTGGAGATTCTTATTGAAAATGTTTTTAACAAACTTGAGGGCACCCGAGAAAGAACCCTACTATTTCTTATTTTTATGTATTTATTTTTATTGTTTTCAGAGAGAAAGGGAGAGGGAGAGAAACATCAATAATGAGAATCATTGACCAACTGCTTCCTGCATGCCCCCCACTGGGGATTGAACCCACAGTCAACACTCAACCACTGAGCCATGCCAGCCAAGCCTTATTGAAAATTTATTGGAAAAATTCCTCTATATAGAAAAACAGTTACTATTTAAATTTAGGGATTTTAACTCAATGAACATTTTACAAGTCTGAATTTTGAGCATTATCAGAAAGTCACATATAGCCTATACCCTCCAATTTTGTGAAAACATTTCAAGATATATTTCTTTATTCAATACTAGAGGCCCAGTACATGAATTCATACACGGGTGGGGTCCCGCAACCTGGCCGGCAATAGGGCCAGATCAGAGGTGTCTCAACCAACTGGGGGTAGGGATGGCAAGAGGTTGGCCAGCTGTGGGAGGCCACAGTGGAAAGTTTAAAGCAACATATGAAACTAATCATGGGAGGATGGGAAATTGTGATTGCCACATACACTGTTGTAAGGCAGCGATAGCAAAATATATAGAGTCCTGGTGCACAAATTCATGCACAAGTGGGATCTGGCCGGCCCACCCCAATTGGGGCCCATTAGGCCAGGGGTTGGGGGCTGCGGGCTGTTGGCCCACAGGATACGCCCCTGGTCAAACTCCTGGTCAAGGGGACAAGTTGCATATTGGCCTTTTATTATATAGGATTATATAGGATGATTCTGAACATTCTTTTTGGTAGTTAGAAAGCATAGAAATATCAAATTTTAAAATGCTATAAAAAAATTTAAATGCTGCAGATGTTTTAAAACCATGGTTTACTCCTAAAAGTTATCTTATGCAGGTTG